TTATTAAATAAACTAGATGATTTGAAAATTCTGAACCTCATAAGGCATGTGTTGGACTCAACTAGAGCTATTTCTGATAATTGAAAGTTCTTCCTCTTAAAATAAAGGATTAATATCACCAAAAATCTCAAACTGGTACATTGTGTCACATTTATCCCAAACTAATTTGGGATTGTGTGACAAAAAATTAGTTTACGATAAATGTGGCACGAGTATACCAATTTGAGATTTTTTGTGACGCAAAAATTAGTTTGAGATAAATGGGCACAAGTATACTCGTTTGGGAGTTTTGTAACAAAAAAAAACTGATTTTGGGTAAATCTAGCAATTGATGCATCAGTTTTGGGTTTTTTTTTTATATATGAGCCCTAGAATAAATTATGGCATCAACATATGCTCCAAACTTTAAGAAATTCTTTTAGAATCAGCATGAACACAATTATTAATAAATTAGATTCTTTGAAAGCTTTAAACCTCATAAGGTCAAGATCAAGCATTCAACCTGATTGAAACTAAACTTTCTTAAAAAAGAAAATGCGCACTAGTTCAGTTTTCAAATAAGGCAATATTACATCTTTCAAAATACTAACACTTTTGTAATATGTGTAACCAATATGTTGTAAATTAAAACTTTCCCTACTGATTATGCATAATATGTGCTCTTAAAACACTCTTTAGCATGACTTATATTCTATGAGGTCATTTAGACATCACACTAGCCATCTGGCAATAAGCAAAAGATGAGCCTATATGCCATTTTACAGGTGGTTATATTGTTATTTGTTAGGCCTTGCTAATGTTGGAAAAATCCCTGAAGGATTTTGATGAACTAAACTTAATCCCAATATTTAATGCGTTCATTAAGTGTTGAGGATCATATCCAAATCATGCAGATACTATATAAGTTCTGGTTACACCAACATTTGAGCAAAATTTCACGAAGTCTGAAGATTTGCATACGGAAGGGTCTAAAAGCAAAATCTGGGTTCTGTAAAACAATCAAACTTGATCGTCGGGCACTTTTCATGTATAGATTCATAGACTATTGTAGTTTCTAAATCAAAGACCCAGCTCATAACAATAAAGTATGATATTCCAATATTATTTATGCGAAAAATCATGGACTAATTGATCGAGAAATTGGTGAGATGGCGTGACCAAAATCTGCCATCAATAATAGATAGTTTGCCATCAATAGAAAATTTGATTGACAAGCTAGCTTGAGGGAAGATTCTATACGTGGTTTTAAGGATTTTTCGAGATTTTTTTACAGAGAATAAGATGACATAACGCCTACTTGATTCAAGTGTCATGTTCGAATTGAAGGAAGCTTGGCCAGAAGTCATACAGTCGGAAAAGGTAACAACAGGAGAAATTGAGTATTCTTGAGTTTTTTTTGAGTCCGTCTCTTTTGTAAGCTTGTAATACCCATTTGAGTGGTGATTCTAAGAGTTAGCAAGAGTGACAAACTCATTTGTAAACACACAAAAAAAGTGGTTGTACTTAAAGTGAAGGCATTCGTATAGGTAAGAGATAAAGTGTACAAGTGACTCTTCAAAAACACTTATTAGATGTGTGGTTTTATTGTTTGGGGAGAAGACATTATGTGCTATATGTACAAGGTGTGAGAACGCTATTGGAAGGTTCAATAGTTCCTATAGAAGGAAATCAAGTTCCGTGAGCAATCGGGTTCTACATTTTTAACAGGGCGGTATCTATACTCTTGGCGTAAGTAGTGTTATCCGGCCGATTTGGGTGGTTAGAGCTAAAAGAGAGAAGTGGGCGCACCTAGGCCGAATCTCCATAAATCTTGTTTGCAATTTATCTTTCTCTAAACTCTTTTATTTCTGATGTCTATATTGCTAGTTCATTTTGCGAGTAGAAGTGATAATTTTATTAGGTTGGTTCTAAAAAATTAATATGTATTTTCTTGAAAAATCAATTCACCCTCCTCTTGATTGCTTATTTGGACCTAACAGAGGCATCTTAAAGGCTCTTGTTAAGCATTATAATCTCTATACAACAAAGCAAACTCAGCATCATTTTCTACTTCAAACTTTGCCCAAACATTCTAGTAATATCTGTGAGCGGTAAAGATGAATGATGACCATATCTAGTTAAATAATGGAAAGAATGGTAATCTAAAATGACCCACATAACAATGACATGATTGCATAAATTCATTTCGTCTACTAAGTCAAATTTTTCTTCCTTCTTTTTTTCCTATATTATTGATTTTTATTTTTTTTTGTTTGTCATAGTGACAAGATTCGTATTTCCAAGAAAGTAAAATCGAATGAAATGTGCAGACTTTATATACTTTACGCAAAAAGTCCATCTGCACACATTTCCCAATCGCATTTCCTTTACTTTAAGCAAGCACTTTAAGGAAACAGATTAACATTGTCCGAATGTTCATTACATTTACTCATCAAAGTGGTTCTGACAACGCAGAGAATATTTCCTGTAAGAGGATGGATACATACCATTGTTAACATATATTAATTTCGACAAAATTTTCAAACAGTTGGAATGATGTCCAACGGCGATTCGATTTTAATGGGACGGTGGTGCATGGATTAAATAAGGGGTTCGACAACCATGTGCTTTTGCAACATAAGTTCATTCTCCTTAGCAGAAACCGACCTTCTCAGTTGAAATATCCTTCAAGTATGACTAGAAATGTCCTTCAAGTATGACTAACTTATTAGTGATTACAACTGCAAAAGAAGTTACTCGTGTTTAGAAGAAAGTCAGGTTTACTAAGAATGGTCTACTAAACTGTATACTAAGCAATGTGATAGAGTTTTGTTGGATATTCAATACGACCCACCCATTTGCCTAAATGCTATTTTCACGTCACTTGGTCTACTACTTCAATAAATGAATTTTTGTATGTCGTGCATAATTCTTTATGTTATGAGTTTTGTTAATGTGTACTCCAGGGTCACACCTATTAAGAAATTCGATTAAGTATCCTCAATCGGTCTTTCAAAAGCACTCGCTAAGATGATCCTTATTTTAATAGCAATCAAACAGAAGAATCTCTTATGCCTTTTGGCGGCTAAGCATGCACATTCTAAACCAATTTTAAAAGCTTAAGTATGACAACCATACAGACAGTGAAGGGTCAAACAACAAAGTACAGAGACAGTTGGTATTTCACTTGAATCTGTCCACCAAAGAAAATGGTTTGAGCTTGCACACGAGCCGTCAACATTTTATACTCTTCCCCTCTAAGTGGAGAGTACAGAGAATCCCTAAACGTTTGGTGCCTGTGGATTGTGGTGGGGAAGCCCAATTTTGCTCATTATGGGACATCTATATGCTAAATCCCTTCATCTGTAGATATTATGAGGATGGTTTCTTTAACAAGAAATTCAAAGCACTGAGCAAAACGACCAGGCCAAAAGTGCAATCAAGTCATCTCTGCTACGTTTCGTTTGGGTTGATCTGACGTAACGGTCCAGTCATCGCCGAACATCCTACACATTCAAAAATTTCAAGTTCCATGATTTATCGTTGAGGACTCTTCTCTTGTTTAAGTTAGGTAAAGCATTCGATAGTTGGGCAAGTTAAGAGCAATCTGCAAGATCATTTCAACGTGTGCTTGAACCTGATCTTTCTCACAACCTAAATCCATGGTAGAGTGGTACTTATCCTTAGCTATCTTTAACCTTACTATATAAGCACCCAAAATTCTTTTCGAAACCATGAAACGAGGTCAACCAAGTACCGTCGTTGTCATATTACATGCCCGGCCTATTCAAAACTACAAAAGAGTTTTTCTTCACGACAATCGAAAGGTCAAAGCAACCAGTGGCCAGTTTTAGTTGGAGGGGATTTTACAATGGAATATTAAAATTGTCAAAGTCGGCGGGAGCGCTTTTTACTTCGGGTCTTCATCAATGATAGAAGTGGCAAAGTTTAAAAAGATCAACTTTAACATAAGCACGCACACCACAGAGAGAGAGAGAGAGAGAGAGAGAGAGAGAGATCTTCTAAATTAGAAGAAATAGACATATTGGTCTTGCAATGACAAGGACATATAATATACGAGTGATGCACTTTGAATGATCTTATTGCAATAATCACCATCCACAAAGAAGAAGAACCACAATGAAGTCCACATACACAGGGCCCGTTTTATTCAACTTTGTAAATGAGTCTTGGGAGAATGCAAATACCTTTAGGTTAAAGCCCCTTGGGGAAATGCAAATGGCGTTTGGTAAAAAATCCTTTATGAAGCTACTTTAACCTAAGTAGTGTTTGGCTTTTTTTTTTTTTTTTGCAAAGGGCTTTGGGATTTTCCTTTTTATTAAAAAAAAAAAACTTACCCTTCGCCGAAGCCGGCAAAGGGCTACAACCGCCGGCGAGCCAGATCTGGCGCCGGCGACAGTCACCTGAGGTCGGGCGACCCCCGGCAAGGGTCGCGCAACCCAGGCAACCCTCGCCGAGGTTTGCCCAACCTTTGGTGACAAGGCCTGAGGTTGCACGACCCAGGGGCCATCGCCTGGACTCATGCGATCTCAGGTGACCATCGCCTGGGTCAGGCAACCTCGCCGACCCTTCGCCATTCAGATTCGGTGTCGTCGGCCAGCCAGCCCTTGCCCAAAGAAGATGAACAATAACAACGAGGAGCAAAACCGGAATATTAAAGAATAAGTTAGGGTAGTTTGGGAAGAAAAAAATTGGTTTCAGCATTTGCCAAATGCTGAAAGTCCAAAGCTGGTCTGGACTACCTTTTGAGCTTTGAGTATTCGCAATGCTGACTTTCGGCCAAAAGTCCATTGGGAATGCTTACCAAACGCCCTAGCATTTCCCCAATGGTCTTTTGAAGCCGAAAGCCCTTGGGAATGTTGAACCAAATGGGGCCATAGTGTAATATGTATTTGGTCAGTGGGTTAAGATTCTCAAAAAGTCACTCTCTCAAGCCTACAAATAGCAATGCAGAGTTCAAGTGCTTCTCATTCAGTTGACTATATTCCGCCTTACCTATTTCTTCTTATTGCTCACTTCAAAGTAGAAAAATTAAACTTCCTTTTCCACACTTCTTTGGCTATGGCTGATCTCCAAGTCATATCAAAATTCGCGATCATCTTCTCCTTCATCGCGTTCCATGCAATTCTAACTTCCGAGGGAAGGTTGATAAAATCAGCATGGAAGGACGAACTCCGTGCAATAAATAATGACCAAATGCACGAACAAGCATCACAATTTCTCACTCCGAGTCAGTCTCCTACGAACGATGATCATTCTGATGCGGGGAAGGAGACGGTTTCTTCCCCAACGGCACGTGATCAGGCGGCCGATTTGGGTGAGTCAGAGGCAGTGTACAAGGATGATTTCCGCCCCACAACCCCTGGGAGCAGCCCTGGAGTGGGCCATTCCTTCGTAGGCTCAAAGAAGGGAGGTGTTCAACTGTCAGCTCCGAGCGGCGATGAGGAGAGGCTAACCGTTACGGAGGTACTAGGTGATTTCCGACCCACTGGACCGGGTCACAGCCCTGGTGTCGGCCATGTATTTGAAAGCAAGTATGATGAACCAAAAGCCTAGATGCGACAAAATAGAAAGTCGGAGTTGTGTCATGTGAGTCCTGTCAATTCTGGTTCAGTTAGGTCTCATGTCCCAAAATGTCATTCTTCAGTGCCCCTGGAAATGGTCCTGCTTGGTGTTTATAATATTATCTGTCAATTTAGAATTGAACTATGTAATTATTTAGTGAAGAATAACGAGGTTTCCTTAGAAACCAACTGCTAATTATTCCGAAAATGTGCATCAGTTATGATATGCGTTACATGCTGTATGAGATTCCAGTTTTCCGTTGTCCTACTTTCTTCTCAATCTTTCCCAATGTCATACATGTTGTGGCCAGGAAAAGTACGAGGTCAGTAATTTCTTTTTGGCATATTTAGATCTTAAATGGGAAACAAACGCACAAATGATGGGCAGAGATACAACATAAAATTTGCTAAACCTCGTACAGAAAAACGACAGGACGTGAATGTATCCAAATCAAGTTGGTGATAACAAACAGAAAAACAGGCAAGATGATAGTGACAATGCTTTATTTGAACTTTTGAGCAATGCCCTGACCATTAAGTGTAATCTCTCCACGTACGAAAGCAAACCCAGAAGATAGGTTTCAACCTCAAACTTAGACCGATAAATTCCATAAAAAGCCCATGTGTTTTGTCAAGTGGTAAGGATGGAGTGCTGTTTCTTCTTCAGAAATAAGTGATCTTATCAATGTTTCACATTTCTATATGATCATCGCTATTTACTCAAAGGCACCACCTCTCGCTGGTTATAGGTACGGTTTCGTTTGCTAATTGTGCATGTCATTTGCATACATAGTTGGCCGATAACCTACTCGCCATTGATGTGGGCTCGTTTCATGCTTATATATTGTCTAACCTTGTTATTTTTTTCTATCTAAAATAAATAGAAATATGTCGACTCGTATTAGTCTGAGGATAGTCTCATTCAAGTCGTGTCATTTCATATTCTTCTCCATAGATCTGTCCAATAATGTATTACACGAACGTCATAGCTGATGAATTTACAAACATTTGAATTGAGCAAAACTTAAAAGCTAGGCCAAAAATAAGAGTTCGTGCACTATTTAGCAAATGATGCCCGTAAGAACGATCCAAGAAAACTCAGTTCAGATGCTACATTATTGCCAAACCGATAAACCCATGCTGCGGGAGTTGTTTTCTTCTTTTGGCCTAGTTTCTGCATTAGTTTGGCTCATTTGATGTTAATTGTTAGTATTTAGGCTTTCATTTCCTTTTTAGGGTTATTTCGAAATCTTTAGGGTTTTAGGGGCATTACGATTTTTTATAGTTTTGTAAAAAATTTACTCAAGGAGTGGTTGATTTGAATCTAATTATGTGCATGTGTTTGTGCTTGCAAGCTTCTTGTTAGCGAACCATCAAATTTGTGCTATTTCTTACATCGCATCATCAACAATGTTAAAGACTTACCTCCCGCAGTCCCGACAAGGCGACCGAATAATTTTATTCTATGTGACATGCTAAACAACTTATGAAGCAACTATGAACGAAAGCAACTCTGTAAAAGCCCAATCTAGTTGTGGATGGTGTAGTTAACGGAATCAATCAAAGTGCAGCAGAGGAAACTGCATGAGAATCTGAGATTTTTTTGTGGAATCTAATATGAGTCTAGCAGATATCCTTTAAATGTGATTATATGGCTTAATCCAGTAGAATTAGTCTACAAAATGCTAGCTCTCATTGAAGGAACTCGATGCTTTCGACTATGCAGTGGGAAAACGATCTGCCCAGATGTACCCTGAGCAACTTTATGGGGTGCTGAATAGGCATTAATGATGTCGAAAAGTTTCCTTTTTTAGGGGCTAATGGACAACTTATTATTAGCACCTTTACTCGGAAAAAAGTCGGCACATTTGATGGAGACCTCCAACAGTGGACAAAAGGAGTTGCACGATTTAGAAAGTTGCCGACCGAGCGCTTTTGTAATTAATTTCTCTAGGCAAATGAAGTGACAGATTTTCAGCAGAATATACCAAGTAACATCTCACACATGGAACCCAATATTAATGTTTTTTTTATCCGTTTTGCCCCCTTTCCACTTTTGCACTTTGGCTTTTGCTTTGTATTTTAGAATAGTTTACACAATTATATGGCTTGGCATTGAACATCTTGGAACTTTGGATTAACTTGGTCACTGTAGTAAGCCTTTTCTTTGCCATTAATTTGTTGGGGGAAAAATTAGATAAGCTCGTTGTGCAGAGATATAATTTTCTTTGCATGCGATTGGGGTTTAATTAAAGAGAATGGGTTGCGATAATAACTTTTAAAAAATGTTCGATTGAGCTCATTTTTTAATTGGCAATTCTTCTTTGATGAGTTAAAAGGGTGTGTATTCAAAATAGTAGTTAGTGAACTCGATACACTTATATCCCTGAACTCAAATTGAACACCGAAGCAACAGTTGTTTTTTCTTATCTATTGGGCTAGATTAATTTAAATCACGAGTAGCTTGACTCGCCTAGTAACACTCAATAGATTTTCTCCTTCCGATGAAAATATGAAGAATAACAAATTTTCTCATTTTCCAAACTTTTTTGGTCAAATAGATCAACAAGTTCCACTTTGGGCCTTCTAGTTGGCTAAAAATTCGAAAGCCCTAAAAGTGAACGGGCTGGGCCCAAAATAGAAATTTGACTTCTTTTCTAGATGAATTGCCAATTTGATATTAAAAATTTGACAATGAACCCTCTATCTCAATTATTAGGGTTTGCCTTTCTTTCTTTAGTCAATCCCTTTAGTAGTAAAATTCAAGATTATAAATTGTACTTAGATGCATTTGTTTTAAGAAAAACTCCATGATAAAGAAAAATATTTTTCAGAAAATCATTTTTCAGGAAAAATAGTTAGTTTTCACTTGTTTGGTGTCGTCTCCTTCGTTGTCGTAATGCCTACGAAATAGTCGTGTGGTTTGCGGAGAAGATGATTGACTCAGGAAAGTGTTTGATTTAGGGATTCACTTTCTTAATTTTAGGAAAAATTCCAAATAAGGATCCGAAGTATTCTCATTTTCTCAAATAGGGGCTTGAAGTGAACTATGTATAAAATAAAAACCCGAAGTGCCATCATTTTCTCAAATAAGGGCCTGAAGTGAATATTGTCTCAAATAAAGGTCTGAAGTTGCCATCTTAGTCTCAAAAAAGGGCCTCACCTCACCAAAGTTAAGGGCATTTTCGTCTTTTAAAATTTTTATTTTTTGATTTTTTTTTGCTTTTCAGTTTTTTCCACAAAAAACAAACTCAAAAATGAAAAAAAAAAAAAACAAGGGGGAGGCCAGCACCGCCTATGGCCACTGCCCCATTGCTGGTGGGGCGGCGGTGATGGCCGGCAACCCTCGCTGACCAGAGGCCTAAGGCCCGGCGACCCTCGCCCAGACCGGGGCGAGGTCCGGCGACCCTTGTCTAGACCGGGGCGACGTCCGGTGAACCTCGCCCAGATCTGGGAGAGGGCCGCCGCCCTCTCCTGGCTTTGGCGAGGGCTAGCAGGCCCCTCGCCAGCCCTTACTGAGGCGCCGGCGACCCCGCCGGCCATCGTCACCGCCCCCCGGTGATGGGGCGGCGACTATAGGTGGGAAGGGCTGGCTGTCAGCCCTGCCCCTTGTTTTTCTTTTTTTTGTTAATTTTTTTAAAATTTTAAATCCAATTTAACTAAAATTTATGTTAAAATTATTTTTGGACGAAAATGCCCTTGGCCAGCCGGAAAATTTAGCTGGCCGGCGAACTAGTGGGGTGAGGCCTCTATTTGAAACTATTATAGCCACTTCAGGTCCTTATTTGAAAACATAATCTACTTCCTGCCCTTATTTGCCACAAAGTCCACTTCAGACCCTTATTTGAGAAAATGAGAGCACTTCGAATCCTTATTTGAAATTTTCCCTTAATTTTATGCGTGAATATTTTTGTTGAGCAGGAAGTGTTTTTGGTCGCTAGTCATTTACAGGGAACCAAACAGGTGAAAGTTTGGAAAAATAATTTCCAAAAAATACTTTCATTCAAATAAACACACCCTTAGAAGACATTTGAAAGTCCACCCATTTATGTTTTGAAAAAAATCCTCTAATAATGTTCATCTTCAAAGTGGAAGAGGACTAAAAAAAATTCATGGATAAAATAAATCAGGACCATATCAATAGTTTTTTTGTTTTTTTATAATAAGCACCATTTGATAGTTTAATAATCAATGCACTGAGTAGCCAATCATTTAGACCATGAAATATAATAACATATGCACCTCTTTCCATCCTTAGGAATAATATTCACAAATATCTCACTCAAGTGGGAATCCTGAATGGTTTTCTCAAGGGTGCCTGGCTTCCCAATAAGTCATGATTGATTCTCTTTGGAGAATCTGATAAACCCATCAAGACATTACGAAACACATTATTTAAGGTGTTATTTGGAGAGCATAACCTCACCAAGATGGTCAAACGTTCGGTACCGAGTGGTCCCTAGCAATCAAAATCTTTATCTCTGAAATGTCGAGAGAATTCGAGCGATTTATCTCGCGACGACAGATAACTCTGCCCTACCGACCTACTAAAATTGATTATGCGGTAGTCTGGGGACCTGAAATCGCGATTAAAGCAATTCGAAAACCAAACCACGGTCCTCAATTAGAACTCTTGCGGGCCACCAATTAAATCTTATGGTAAGTAGTCAACAACATTTGGTAGAAAGCAAGAACAAGAATAGAGAGAACATCCATGTCCTAACACCACAATGTTCCACTTCCATCACACAACACAACCATCGGGGGACATCAGTAGACTAAGTACTTGCTAATCAAGAGGTGTTTTTTCTTAATGTTTTTCAAATCCAGAGGATCTGGAAGGAATCATCCCAGCTACACCCCAACTGGATTCCAAACCCTCTTTATGTTTTCTTCGTGTGACCATGTGCGCTCCGTTATATGAACTTACATCCACTATAAAATGGGAAATTTTTTGCATATTAAATAAGGACCACGTGAGTAACAAGATTT